TGTTCGTAAATAATAACAATTCTTGTTCCTCGCAATGCTGTTGAATTTATTTTTGTTTGTTCTTTGTCGATTGTTTCCATTTTTCTTATATTTCTCACAACGAATAAAATGTGATATGCAAGTACCTGCTCAATTCTGACGGCATTTCGACGGCGATCCGAACAATCGGATCGATCGAAGCGAGATCAGCTGTTCACAGCAGCTGATTACGTCGAACTCGAGCGTACTGCGCGATTTTTTCGACAATTTAGCCGATAACTTTGCCCGAAATTTCTTGCGCCGATTTCTAGCGAGTCCTCGCCAATGGAGCACGCCGTCACTGCCGACGAAACACGGGTTTTCCGAACAAATCGACGATCTTCGGAACGAGTAAAAAACTGGGTCAGAAAAAAATCCTAACAAATCGCTAAAACGTCGACGATTATCCGGTTTTTAACCGTCGTCGTCGCCCAAAAAGCTTCCGAAACGATTATTCCACGATCCAGCCGATAATGAGAAGTTCCTGGGATCATTTGAAGTAACTTTTTCCTTAGCGAAAATGCAACCCGTGGCTTCGTTTACGAATTATTAACGAAAAACACTGACCAATGAGAGGCGAGCTCGCCTAGCGCTTGGCGACCGAGCCAATGAGCGCACGAAGCCCAGTTTCGCTCGTTGGCTCGGCCGCCTTGCGCCAGCATATCTCGCCTNATCTGGATTTTAAGTTTCATGCAGCGTCGCCACTGAAACCCTTTAAATGCGAGACCATGTTCGTCATATTCGAAGGCCAAGTGAAACGAGCATAGAAAATTGGCCAACTTTCAATGACGATATCTCCGCGAAAAATCACCTCAGGACAACAACTCTTTCCTTAAATTAATGCTTGGAATCTCTACTTTCAGACACTATACTATGAATTTTAAGTTTGACGCACCCTTGCCACTGTAACTCTTTAAATGCGAGGCCATGTTCGTCATACGTCATACGTCATATCGTCGAGTTCGACGAATCGCACGGACTTTGGACAATTTTTGTCCGGGATGCCGTTCACGGCAGAACGAAGTTCGATCTTTCCCCTTTAATTTAAAAAAAAAGAAACTCGGCTGCGATCTTCTCTCGCAAAGTTACAGCAGTTTATAGTAACCCTTGCATAACAACCACAAAAACGAGCCGCAAGGCTCGAATAATCGTATCTCCTCTCCCCAAATTCTCCATTTTTGCGCGTCCGATCTGAGCGTCAATTAGAGAGACATTACTGCGTCCCTATTTCGTACGACTCGAAGCGCATTTCACACTAAATTTGTAACAGCCTTCGAAACGTAAACGAATTTGATAACGATGAAATGACTTTGAAACGTTGTACAACAATTTTACGTGTCGGAGTCGCCAGTCGTCGCGCGAGAAGTTAAAATTGCTCGAAATAAAAACGGAAAAAATAGAATATTGACCAGCGGTAGAAAGTTGTCAGTCGCGACTACGGGGGTCCGGCGATTAGAATTGCAAATCTGGGCTGTTTCTAAAAATATCTAGCTATCCGGTCAGAAGCGCGCGTTGAAAAAGGCGGCCGGGCGGCTCGTAATATCGCCGCGGAAAGGACAGTGCTCTCCGGCACCGGGCGGTAGAAGAGGCGGAGGGGGAGGAAGGGGGACATAGATATTACCGCGAGGCTCGCCACATTTTTCCCTAAATCTAGAAAGGTTCCCGGGAATAAAGAACAGAACCAGGTCGCAAAAACTGGGTGACCGTGGGCGTCGCAGAAAAGATGAAAACGCCGTTGGGTCAACGGCGACGATAAAAGGATTAAAACGCTTCACCCTCCGCTCGCGGCGAGAGCGTCCTCCTCGGAGAGAACAACGGCGGACAATAACAAACTAGCGTAACAATAGCAAACTTTTCCCCCGGGGAATAAAACATTCACCGAATTTATCCTCTCGTTAGACGAAAGGGAAAAAACAAAAACCGGGCGCACAAAGGAAAGAGCGACACGGTCGCGGGCAACGTGCCGAACGAATCCCGAATACTGGAAAGAACGATCGTCAGCGCGGTTCCGCGGCGGATGAAATCAACGACCAAGGTCGAAAGTTTTTAAATACATTGTGCGAAGCACGAGTGGTTTCCCTGCGATTCGGTTAGAATCGTAGTGGCGCGCGCGACGTTTTCCGAAAATGTTTTGGAAAATGTAATCGGCGCATTTTTTGCTATGAATTAACTCGATTTACTGTGGATCAACTTGACTCTAAATTAACCGAACAAATAAATTTGCACACTGAACGATACAAATGTTCGTAAATAATAACAATTCTTGTTCCTTGCAATGCTATTGCTGTTGCATTTATTTTTGTTTGTTCTTCGTCGCTTGTTTCCATTTTTACTATGAATTAACTCAATTGACTGTGAATTTACTTCACTCTAAATTAACCTAACAAATAAATTTGCTCGCCGAACGATACATATGTTCGTAAATAATAACAATTCTTGTTCCTCGCAATGCTGTTGAATTTATTTTTGTTTGTTCTTTGTCGATTGTTTCCATTTTTCTTATATTTCTCACAACGAATAAAATGTGATATGCAAGTACCTGCTCAATTCTGACGGCATTTCGACGGCGATCCGAACAATCGGATCGATCGAAGCGAGATCAGCTGTTCACAGCAGCTGATTACGTCGAACTCGAGCGTACTGCGCGATTTTTTCGACAATTTAGCCGATAACTTTGCCCGAAATTTCTTGCGCCGATTTCTAGCGAGTCCTCGCCAATGGAGCACGCCGTCACTGCCGACGAAACACGGGTTTTCCGAACAAATCGACGATCTTCGGAACGAGTAAAAAACTGGGTCAGAAAAAAATCCTAACAAATCGCTAAAACGTCGACGATTATCCGGTTTTTAACCGTCGTCGTCGCCCAAAAAGCTTCCGAAACGATTATTCCACGATCCAGCCGATAATGAGAAGTTCCTGGGATCATTTGAAGTAACTTTTTCCTTAGCGAAAATGCAACCCGTGGCTTCGTTTACGAATTATTAACGAAAAACACTGACCAATGAGAGGCGAGCTCGCCTAGCGCTTGGCGACCGAGCCAATGAGCGCACGAAGCCCAGTTTCGCTCGTTGGCTCGGCCGCCTTGCGCCAGCATATCTCGCCTCTCATTGGTCACTCTTTCTCGTTAATAACTAGTAAACAAAGCCGTGGATTGCATTTTCGCCAAGGACAAACTTACTTC